GGGCGGGGCCAGCCCAGCCGCCCCCAGCTCCCAAGATGGCGGCGGCCAGGGCGGCGCGGGAGGCAGCGCGCCGCTCCAGGAAGCTTTTCGACATTTTTGTGGCCGAGGTTCCGTGGACGGTATCGAGCAGTGAGTCTGCGCCACCCTCCTCATCCCCCACCGGTCCTAGAGCTGGCGCGGGAGGAGGCGGCCCCGCCGCGTGTACCGGCAGAGGCCGAGGGGACGGGGCCTGTGTAACCGGTTGTGCATTTCCCCCACAGAGGAGCTGAAGGAGTACTTCTCTCAGTTCGGGTCAGTCCAGAGGTGCCAGCTGCCGTTTGTGAGTACCCGCTCGTTCTCCAGGCCACTGTTCGTGTCTTTTTGGTAAAACGGGGAAGAGTCGGCGGCCGGTGCTCGCTAGGCCCCGGCAGGGTTCGCCCTGCTGCTGAGGCCCTGCTGCGCTCCCTCGGAGCTGCTTTCTGGAATCCTTCTGTACTCTAGTCAGATCTTCGGTGCTCTTCAAATTTAAGTTTCTTCTCCCATTGGGTGCCGCTGCTTGTCTGCGAGCTGTAGGCCTCACTGAAGCTTCGTAGTTTGCATTGGCTTTGAAAGAACTTTAAAAAACACATCTCCCAGATCCAGTTGATACTGCCATGTCTGAATAATTAACCTGGAAGTACTTTGAGCTTCTCTATTGTGTTATCTTTTTTCTGACAAAGAATAAAAGGCTTATGTGCCTGGTCTCACTGGCCTAAAAATTTTAAAGGTGTGTGTATGAACCTTACAATCCTTTTCTGCTGTGGGTTCATATTCCATCCAGAGTGGAGGGCTAACGCAAAACCCACAAACTCAGGCTATTAGCTATTTGTGCCCCTGCCATTTAGATTATTTATCTTTTGATGTAGATCAGGGATAATAGCATATACTGCAGTTTCTTAAGAGATGAACAGCCAAAGAAAGGTGTTCCTTTCCCACTGTTATGGATAAATTGCAGGTTATTGCTGAAGGAAGTTGTCTGCTCATGTTTCTCTGTGCAAAGTAATGGTCTGTTAAATTAAGATCAGTGTGTTAGAACATAAGTTAATGAGCTGATGGGCTCGCTATCAGTTGAGGACTAGCTTGGAAATGGAGAAGGGTAGTTTGAAACAATCTGGTTATTTCTGAATGCTGAAGTTTAGGTGTCAGCCTGCCACTCTTGTTCCTCAGGCCCAGGACAGAAGACATTGCTTCATTGTGAAGGTTGGCAGCTTACTGTAAAACAGCTTCCACCACCAACTAAAGCTGAACTGATGATACACATGTGAATGTTTTGATTCATTGATTACTTTTAGGAGTAAAACTGCCAGAGGTACAAAAATCTGCCAGCAGCATGACACCCTAATTAAGACATCACTGTGATACTGAAACCACAAGTGTGACTACAGTACCTTGTGGGTGAAAAATGTCACCAGTGTTTTGAAGTGCTGCTAGTCATGCCTGATGATCAGAGTGGCACAGCTGTTGTGAACTCTGGGGATCAGAGTTGGGATAAAAGGCACTTTGGTAGACCTGGCTTTTCTGCATTATCTCTTCTTCATTGACAACTGTCTTCTGATTGGCAGATTATTCTTAAAAATATATTTTTTTTCTTTTCAGTGCAGTTAATGCTTGTCATCTTGAATTGCAACCTGCTTTCTTAGTATTTTAAGCAGCTGCTTTATCTTGCTGAATGCTCTTCAAGTACTGTGGCAGGCTCTTTTTCACATGGGGCAGATATTTGCATGTCAGTTTTGTTGTGACTGGCCTAACAGTAGGTAACTAGTGGAGTTTGAAACAACATTATTTCCGTCTTCAACTGTAACTTAAAATCTTAAATTTTATTATGATTGCTAGACTCACACTGGGAGAAGAGAATGCAGAACAGTCTCTGCTAGGCCCCTGCATGATGTCAATGAGAATAAACGTCTTAAAATGTTAAGAAGACTAATGAAACAGCAAGTGTGCTAATTTCTCTGATAACTTCTGAATCCTTAAACTGAATATGCGTAGAAAGTTTTAACTGCCTATGCAAGTATTTGATACAGTAATTATATTTTATTTTTTTGAACTGGTAACTAGGACAAAGATACAGGCTTTCACAAACGTTACTGCTGGATTAAATTCTCAACTCCAGAAGATGTTCAGAATGTATTTCAGAAGGACTCCCACATACTTGAAGGTGCCAAGGTAGCGTGACAATTCCTTTAATGAAGTTATGTAATAGGTTTAGCTCTTTAACTTTGCCTTTGGTTGGACACAGTGGTATAGAAGTATTGCCATACTCATTCCAAGTGATTCAAGCATTTTGCCACTAATGTGCTTTTAATGTTTTTTAAATCATTAAGATACTTGCTTATTCCCCTCAACTCCACTCATTAGGGTCTGAGATCATATATAGAGATCACATAGAATGCAGTAAAACTGTTTAGGAACTGCCATGCAACTCATTATTTGTAATACACGTTTCTGTAGGTGGATTTTAATCTTTGATCTGGGTGTTGCATAGCAGGAGGAAGATGACAAAAAAATGTAAAGCTAAGCTTTGAACTTTGAAAATTTCTTTTTTTTCAGTTACCATTTTGTACAGGAAAAATCAGCTGCTTGCTTTCATGTGTTCAAGATAACCTTAAATTAGCTTTAGTGTAGCTGTTGTTTTTTTTTTTTAATTTCTGTGTTCAACATTTTAAATGTTATTAAAGAAAAATATGACACTTTGGCAATCAAAGTGCATAATGTATGGTATCAAGAGACTGTACACCATCAGTTTAAAACCTTTGGTCTAGTACCCATACAAAGGCATCTGTCACTGACTGATCAGTTAAATGATACAGTTGCCTGGTTCTAGCTTCACTGCAGCAAATAAACAGTAAAGAAATGACCATGGTCCTGCTTTCCAAATATTTAGGAGGCAGTGGTGTTAACAGATAAGGATAAAAGGACAGTGAATCAATGGGTGCCCAAAGCCATTCATAAATTAACAAGTCTCATGACAAAAATCATTAGAATCTTGTATCTAGTGTGTTCACTAAATAAGTGCTTTAGCTGACCTTGCTACTCAGACCTGGTAGCACAGAGGGACAGCATGAGCAATAAGCAGGCTGGTATAACAGACACGGTTCATTTCTTTGAAAAACTAGTAAGAATTCATTACTGTCCTGACACCTAGTTTCTCCTTCTGAGATGGTATAAGTAAATGAATTAGCAAGATTTCAGGGATGCATTATGTTGACTGATAAAGTATTTTGCTTGACATGGTTCATACCATTGGAGAAACCTTCAGTGGTTGTGGTTACTTCAATACCTATCCATAAGAAGAGCTGACTTGTGAGTTACAACTGTGGTACAGAAAAGAAAAGAGAAATTGAGTGGTTTACTGCCTTCAGTCTTAAACAGGCAAGCCAGGCTCATAAATTGGGCTGAAAATGACTAAGATGTTACCTGTATGCAATTACTAAGATAAGTACTAGGAGTAGCATAGAGGAGTATTTAGTGTCAATTTCTTGGAAATAATTTTCTTTTTATTCTTGAAGCTGTAAGATAGCCACATCCACTTAACTGGAGGACTGTACTCTAAGTGCAAGAGCTAAGAGGCTTTATGGTGAAATAAAAAGTAGAAGGCAGGCAGTAGGTAGCTTTCTTCATTTCTTCAAAAATGCAAGTTTTCTGGAAGCAAAACACATAAGCACTTCTGCCAACTGTATTCTAGGCTAGGTTTAGACAGTTACCTTCCATTAGTTCCACTTGAAAGCACAAGCTTTTAAGATGCATTTTGCCAATACAACTAGCAATTGCCATAGAAATGATATTCAACTTTCCTGTCAGGAGCTTAGCATTTGTGGTTATGGCTCATGAAACTGAACCTGTTATAAACCCATCTTTTGCTTTCTGTATGAAAAAAAAGAAAAATATCAAGCCTTCTTGCCTAATTTGAATAATTTCTATTGTTTTCAGCTTATTCTCAAAGAACAGTCCCATAGAAGACAAGGCCAAAGAATCAATCAAAGCAACTGAGTGGTGGAAGGTGGCTTTATTTCACTAAATGAAAACAAACAAAAATAAAGATTACTGAGAAACTATGAAGGAGTATTTGTTTTAAAACCAAATCCAGCTCTTTCCCCTCTGTGTTCAAGTAAACTGTATAGCCACACTAAAACACTGAATCAAACTCCCTAGCATCCATTACAGCATAAAGACAGTAATTATATACAGCAGAAAGGCTTTTAACAGATGAAGTAAAAGCTTTAGCTACCTACAAAAAGTAAAGCTGCAGGAAGGGGCTACATTCTTACCCTGAGATGCTGGGAAACAGGGAGCACTTGCTAAAGAATAAATTCCCTTGTGAAATGTTTCAGGGTGGTCTCTATTCCTCCACTCTCCAGGGATAGCTGTCCTACGTAGAAGAATTAGCGTGTGTAATATATCCACACGAACTGTGAACTGCTGCATTAGAATGCCATCCCCCTACACACCTCTGATCTTGCAAAAGGCATTTTTAATAAGTCCAAGCTTGTAGTCCATTTCTCTACCTCTCAAAAGAGCAGAGGCATTCAGTCCTTCCTCCTTTTTTTGCTCTCATGCTCATGTTCCTTAGGGCGGCTGCTATCTGATGGCCGTTTAGAACCACCATGTTGCTTAGCTTCTTCCAGAAACTTGTCCAAACCAAATGGATCCTCCTCAAATTGAACTGGTCCATCTCTACCCCTCCCTCTGGTATTACGATCTGAGTTAGAGAACTCTTTGTCAGGAACAAACCTGCAGGAGAAGAAGTGATAGACAGTTGACTGGAACTTCACTATACTAATTAATATTTCTTAACTTCATTTTCTTACCTATTGGTCTTTATTCGAGCCTCTAGATCATCGCCATACATATCCTTATCCACATTTTTACTTGGCCTGTAGATGTTTTGGGCCATATCCTTGCCACTTCTCCAAGGCTGGTCATAAACATTATAGATTTCATCCTCTCCTCCAGCAAAGCCACTGTCCATACCCTGTGAAGAACAACACAAATCAGTCTGCAAAACTTCAGCTGGCTTATTTTAACATCAATACACACTGATGTCACACAGATACACAAAGATACAAAGATGGCATTGTGTGAATTAATACCAATTTCAATTGAGTTCAAGCACTTCAACAAGGGTGTAAGTGGTTTTGGGTCTGGGATTAAGTCCAGAGAACACGACACAACAATTACAAGCCTTATCGCAGACACTCCTACTCTTCTAGAAAGCAACACGAAGGATTACAGGCCATTCATATCACAGAATAACAGATCATTTCAGTCTGCCCTGCAAGTACAGCTGTCTGTAACAGCCAAAGACCACCATACAGAAATGTTAGTATTCAGAATTTCTGGAAAACATTTAAGCTGACTGATACAAATCACACAGGCTTATGTAAACTGTGAAAGTAGAAGTGAAGTGCCAGCTTGTTCACTTTTGATTCATCAGCTTTCCCTTCTGCCTGCAAGTCTTTCATTTGAGACATGAAAAAGCATGATTGACAAACTGCAGGTCTATTCAGGGACTTTCTGAAGCCTCATCTACTTTTTCATCTCTGAATAGTATTAAGTTCAGGGAAAATAAATGTTGCTGTTAACTATTTATATCTTCAGAAGGATTTTTAACATAAGCAATAATGGGAATAGAAAGTATTTACGTGCTTCTCTCCACACAGATTTCTCTTATTCAGTCAGTACATTTGTACAAAAGAGGAAAATTAGGCCAGTGCAGCTTGAAGGCAAAATAGTTTCTTTCTCCCCACTTCCCAGTAAGAAAAACCACAACAAAAACACTTTAATCCAGTTATATGTTCAAAATATTCAATTTCTGTTGCACTAGCTATGGATAAAGGAGATCGTTTCCTAAGCAGTTGAGACTTCTTTCATGTATCCACACCAGCCACGTGAACACGGTCTCTTTAGTATTCTAGCCACACCCACTAAGGAAGAATTAATATGTTCTCATAGAAAGCTACACAGCTATGAAAAGGTATTTTTACCTTGCTCTGGTTGAACAGCCTTTGGTCATACTGGATTTCATTGGATGGCCTGGGGTTGGGTACCCCAAGGGCAATAACTTCACTGATATCTCTGTTCTCGTTTCTCTGCAGCTTTGACCTGAATTAAAAATTTCAAGCTTTATTAAGTTAGTAAACCATATTTGTTGACATGGTCAGCTGCAACCTGATCCTGTATTAGTTGCTAACAATTTGCATCAGGAGCCAGATTTTGACTGTTGTCCTTCTTTACTAGGTAGCATCTAAAATTTGTCTCCTGTCAAAGAAAACATTTGGCAAAGTTATGTTCAGCTGGGCATGACATTTAAATTTGCTTTCCACTATCTGCAATTTATATCAAGCTGACTTGGTCTAAAATGTCATATGTATTTTTTTCAAGAACCAGTGTAATTATATTCTGGGAAGGCCAAGCAATCTAATTTTAAGGTATTGGAGATCTTAAGCCTCCAGAAACCATTTGTGCTCAGAAATCTTACTGGCTTGGGCAAACAAGATACTTCAGCCTACACTCATAAATCTAAGCTTACTTCAAATGAACAGCTTCAACAAACAAAGCCACTAATGATACTCTGGTCCCACTGAAGTTACAGGATCCAGGTTTCAAGCTTTGCTGTAAACATGTTACTTTAATCTGAATATACTCAAGTTCTGCTAAAGAAAAACCCACCCAAAACCACCAACCCCCTCCCGTCCTCCATTCACCTGGAAAATTTGAAATTTATAAGAGACTACTGCAGTACACTAATAAGTAATACCATTTCATGCAATGAACAAACAGTGCTTCATAGCAGTGAATATCTCCACAAGGTAAAATTCAAGCACTCACATCAAGTGAAAAGAAGCCCAGTGTGATAGTTTTGCTAGTGGGGAAGCCAGTGCCAGTACATGAATAAAGCAGCTTCTGTGACTCACCTTTTGTCAGGGGCTGCCCTGGAAAGATTTCTGTCATGCTGTCTCTCTTTGCGCCGGTCATGTCTGATTTCATCTCTTTCTCTAGCTTCATCCTCTGAACAAATGCAAAATTGCTCATTATAGACAAATATTTGAAGTTTGAATTAACTATGCCACAGATACATGCACAGCAAGTCAATTCAGTATTCTTTCACAGAAGTGACCCTTAGCACTTCTGTTACAGTTTAAACAAACTGAACACATGGAAAACCACAGCATTCTTACACCATGTGCAATTAACTGTCCTTAACAAGACAGTTAAAGCATATATATCCAACAACTATGTCTTCTCAGCTTTGAAGAGCTTAGAACACTTGTCCATCTAGGAATTAATATCCTAAAACACCTATAGATCATCAGATCATACTTTTATCTCTTAAGTGTAAAAATACTGTTCAAACACACAGGCATTTAAGCACTCTGAATAACATTCTGTGACTATCAGAGAACCACTCAGGTTGGAAGGAAGTCTCTAGTTTAACCTCCTGCTGAATTCAAGCCAGGTTGCTTAGGTCTCTGCCCACTCACGCAGAGAAAACCTCCAAGGACAGAGATTGCCAGCCTCCCTGGCCAACCTGTTCCACTGCTGTTTGTTCTCCCAGTCAAATTTTTTTTCCTCACATGTAGTTGGAACTTCCCTCTTCAAGTGTTGACCACTGTCTCATTCTTCCACTGTGCAACTTAGTGAAGAGCTCTGATGATCTTACAGATACGGGAGGCTCCCCCTAAAGCCACATTTTCTCCCCAGCAGAACAAGCTTCATTTTCTCAGCATCTCCTGACTAGACAGGTACTCTAGCCTCCTAACCATTTTGATGGCGCTCCGCTGAACTCATTCCAGTTTATCAATGTCTGTCTTGTACCTGGGGACCCATAACTACACACATATTCCAAATGCAGTCTAACAGGTCACCAGTAAAACAATGTGATTTACTTCCCTTGATCTACTGGTTACATTCCTGCAGATTCAGCTTAGTATGCCCTTAGCATTACTGCTGCCAGGGCATGCTGCTGGCTTACATTTAGCATACTGTCCACTCGGACTCCCAGGTCCTTTTCAACAGAGCGGCTCTCCAGCCAGCCAGTCCCTAGTCTGTTGGAGAAAGGCTAGTCCTTCCAGCTGCAGGATTTGGCACTGTATGACAATAACCTCCACCTCTTCAAAAGATTAACTGCTCTAAGTTCAGCATCTTGATCTCTGAAGTACGATTTCAATCAAAACATAAGACTTACCACAATGGTTATGATTTAGTTAGCAGGTTTTGGGCCTACTGGCCAACAGAACTACAGTTCTGCAAGACCAGTTATAACAGTGCAAGAGACAGAATACTGTATTTACCATCTTTGAAAACTTAAAGGTGATTTAGTTCTTGTAAATGAAGTTGATCTTCATCTGCAACAAACCTTTTCTTAAGAAAAAAGTTACTTTAGAAAAGTCCATGAAAGCCATTACTTGCACCAATCCATTAACAACTCTGAAATTCTCAACAATGTCCTAAACCTGTATATACTGACATACTGCTATGAGGTTCAAATCCTAATCCCATCAAGTAAAGACATGAAGAACAGATATCATGCTTAGAAATTACAGTTGATATTTAGGTATTCTAAATTCTCAAGTTATCTCTTCAAACCCATACTTCAGAGAGTGCTAAAAAATTCCCACTGCATCTTAATAATAAAGAAATGTACCTTTTTCAACATGGGTTTTGATCCCTGCTCTTCTCTCCCTGGCTTTCTGAGCCATTTCTCGGAGCTTTTCCTCATGTTTCTCCTTTTCTTTCTGAGCCATCTTTCTCTCCACCTGGGCACGCATCTCTACTGCCTCACGAGCCTGCACACGTAAGACACAGTTAAAGAGACAGGAAGCTAGCACCTGAGATGCAAGCATATCTTCTGCCATGGACTTATCTGTGGAAATTCAAAGACGTACAGCCACAGAAGT